ATTAGATATGTAGAAATGGTGACCACTGAAAAGCCCATAAACGTTTGTTATAAAACCGCGCTCGAGTGTGAAGAGAGCATTGAATAATAATAACACGAGAGAGCACTTGCGAGTAACGATTTGCTTGGTTTCTTGACTTGACTGTTGGTAAAAATGTAAGAATGTTCTTGTAAATTCAAAGCAAATAAAATAAACAAAAATTAGCAAGTATTTTGAACTTACTGGTATAAATAGTTCGCAAAATTTATGTTTTTAACTGTTTGTAATTTGATACTTTCACCACACCCCCCTCGGGCAATCAATTTTAGACGAGGCACGTGACCAGCCGATACCAGGGTCTTTCCTAAAGACCCTGGGAACGAGGTTGTATCATCCGATCCCTGAGTTGCCGCATCATTTAAATTACGCACGTGCAATCTCCAATTTTATACTAATATATTTAGCGTTTTTGTTGTGGTACGTTAAATGATAGATTGCGCATGCGTAACCGATTAAAGCGTAAAAAGTGCGCATGTGCAACAAGCTTTTACATCCCACAAGCAATGAAGCAAATGTTTTAGCTTAAATACGCTGATTCCAAGTAGAGCATGTTTGTCCATTTTTAAATGGGAGCGCAACTATGCTATTACAAACTAATAGCATGGCTTTTCGGGAGATTAGTGATTAAATGACCCCTTACCCTCGTCAGGTTTGCGGAATTCCCTCGGGCTTCGCCCTCGGGAATTCCGCAAACCTGCCTCGGGTTACGGGGCCATTTAATCACTAATCTCCCTCAAGCCATGCTATTACTTATAATAAAGGAATTTGATCATAATTATCCCCATGTAAATTTGCGCCGCAGAAGTGTTAATCGAAATCGTAGTTGTATATCTCCGATCTCTCAAAGCGCATTTGACCTAGAGGAAGACTACAGCAACTACCTTCAAGAGACCGGCCTTTTAACATTTGAGACAAACCTGGACTTCCAAGTGTGTGGATCGTCACGGTCATGCCTGTTGATTAATTAACGCATTTTTATAATTGACTGTTTTAATTCTAATCCGAAAGACAGTGTAATTTGAATCTCCAATTTGACAGTCATGATATCTCTTTATATAATAACTACAGTGAAACACGCAATTTGATTGGTCAACAATCGCATTGTAAAGTTTCATTGTACATTACCTTTCGACTTTGAAGTAAGTTTGCAATTATTGAGACGTTGGTTTAGCTGTATGAATAAATTTCTAATCGATACATTGCTGTCCAGCAAGTAGGAACGCGTAGCGTTGAAATTCATCAGACCATCACAAGTACAAGTGTACAACATCTCTCGCTTCAAAGTTCAAACGCTTCGCAATCTTCAAGTATTCAGGTCGAGAATCTTCAAAATTACTTTGGCTCTCTGTTTAGCGGGTTTTCCATTTCAAATTTCGTATATTTTATCGAAAAAGTCTCTTTATTTTCGCTGTATATTTTCTCGAATTTGCGATCAAATTCTGTTCACATTTGTTGTTGTTTTCAATAGCGTGGAGTAGCGATTCTCCGATTGGTTAATTCACGATTGTTGTGAGAACTGCACATTTCATCAGTTATTCTAATCAACTTAACCGTCGTTTCACTGTAGTAATTTTATAAAACAATTACCAAATAGTTTTGCCGTGCAGGATAGCATGATCCATGCACTTGAGATGTTGCTCGACTTTCGGAAAGCGTAAATCCCATTTCACGCATTCCGAAAGTCTCGCAACATCCCGCGTGCATGGATCACGCAATCCTGCACGGAAAACCATTCGGTATTCCTTTAATGTTATACGGAGGTCGCTACCGAAAATGTTCAACGTTTTAGTGGTTTTACATGGTCTGAGAAAACATGTGCTCTGGAATGTAACCCCTTTCGCGAAGGGTATTACAAACTTAAGTAGTTTCATTATTTCACTCGATTTCCCCGCTTTTGCTATTGTTGGAAGAGTACTGTTATCTATATATGTGTAATTGTTCATGATTTTATGTAGTATAAAACCAAGTCCATGCAGGTATTCTTGCCCGGTAATGTTGGGCCAATAAATTAAGAGTAGTCTTGTTTGCGTTCCATCGCACGCTCAGCAAGATGGTAATCTTTATTTCATATCACGTGATATAATTAGCCAATTAAATGATCAGATTTCCCTCAATGTACGTATATTATCTTGCAGATGTGTTCCGGACGACAAGCGTGCCTTTGCAATGGGAATGCAATATGTATTCCTGAAAACAATCGGTTTAATCCCAGGTCCAATAATCCTTGGTCATCTACTAGATCTATCTTGTCAACTCTGGCAAGACATCTGTGGGCAGAAAGGAAGATGTTTTGTCTACGATGTTGATTTGGTCAGTAGAAATATTTGCATATTTGGAGCAGTCATTACGGGTAAGAAACACAGATTTAAAGCTCTCTTTGCAAAGGCAATGCGGACGGACGCCTCTCTAAAAAGCGGACAGCGCATAGCCGCATGTTCGAATATCAGCAATTTCGGCATCCCACTCGGCGGTCTAAACTAATTGTTATAACTAATTGTTATTGTTATTGTTATTGTTATGCCCTCCCCTAAGCAGGAAGTGGCCCTGCGATTCCGTCGTAGCGCTCTAACCAACTGAGCTACAGAGGCGCATTGGTCGAGCTCTAACCATTAGTTCTTGTTCTCAAGCGAAAGCATCAAAATATGTTAACACGATGCTCAATAAAAAAATTCAGTGTAAAAATTGTTTAGAGAATAAATTTAATGTTTCTTAATAAAATAGGAAAAGCTTAAACTAAAATTAGAATAACAAAGCCGAAAGTATCGGTTTCGACCACCTATTTTTTATCAATGTAGAATTCCTTAGACATTAGGTAGGTCTAGCTGTCAGTGCGGTGATTACTGCTACGTACCCCCGAGAATACTTTAAAGATGACGTCCTTTAGATGTAAGACTTTCTTGAAAAAATCTATTTTTTCCAAAAATTAGAAAATATAGTCTCCCCTTGATTATAAAAAAACCATACATATCATTATTTTTATTGCGCACAATTCTTTGGAAAACACTGGAATACTTATATATATAGATTAATTTAATAAAAAAATTATCACAACAAATGTCATCACTGCACATTTTTACTGTTCATCACTACGCACTTTCACTTTATCGCCGCACAAATTGGTTATCACTGCACACTAAAATTAGATATGGATGAATTAATTTTCAAATCACTTCCAGAGGGAAGTGATTTTTAGTCGGTGTCACGCACCGGATTGCCATGGTATCGCGTAACCAAAACGCATATCTGATATGCAGGGGCGTAGGAAGCTTCTAAAAGTTGGGGGGGGGGGTTTGAGGGGCACTTTTCGAAAAAATAGGCGTCTAAAAATTTTTTCCTGGAAATGTTGGCGACGGGGGGAGGGAGATCATCTCAAAAAAATATTTCGGACATAGCCAAAAAAAATTTCCGGTTATACCACATAAGGCAATCTTAATGAAAATTTTCACGCAAAAAAAGGGCACTTTGCTCCCGGAAAAAGGGCACTTGGCAAAACTGGCCCCCCCTTCTGCTCCCCCCCCCCCCCCCGCGGTTCCTACGCCCCTGCTGATATGGAAAGTAAAGGCTGCTTTTTGTACGTGCGTACAGGAACGTTTAAATCCATTTACTAAATTTTTTTATGAAATAACTAAATAAATAAAAGGACAGTACTGTATTTCAATAAAACACAAAAACAGTAGACACTGCGAAAATTGTAAACATTTTTATTCTTTACGTTTCGACTATAACTTCAGTCATCTTCAGAAGAATGCTACGTATTCTGAAAAGGCCACTATTTATAAGCTAGATACTTGCGCGCTCAAAGTTTAATAACGTCACATGTATAATTAAACTAATGGAAAATTGTTAATTCTTCTACAACGCACGTGCGCCATATTTATAAATGCTGGATTACGATGGATATGAAAAGCCTCTTTAAAAAACAATCGATCAATAGACAACTCGCATGTTAGACTAATTTTTTATTTAGGCAAAAAAAGTAAATTCCCGTAAAGAACTTATTAAAATCAGTAAAATTGCAAAATTTGATTACGAAATGTTGTAAAATACAGAAAATATAGCCTTGCGAAGTTTGCATATGTTCAGTATATTTGTATTACGTGCGGAAATACCATTTTTGAGCCGAAAATGGTAACAATTTCCGCACGTAATACAAATATACTGAAAATATGCAAATTTCGCAAGGCTATATTTTCTGTATTTTACAACATTTCGCAACTAAATTTTGCAATTTTACTAATTTCATTATGTTCTTTTTAACTGTTGTGTTTTATTCCCTTCTCTTTACTTAGATTAAAATTTAGTCTAACATGCAAGTTGTCCATTGATCGATCAATTACTTTACAATTACTATATATTAAATCTACCAAACTTGGGGAATAATAATTACAATCTAGTAAATTAGCTGAAAAATTTAACAGATTACGAAAAATCTAAAATTCATACACAATTATGTATATGTTAAACATTTCGGACTTATCAAACTTAGCATTTATACACACAGTATTTTGTTCTGTGTGTGTGATTTAATTATCCTTGCTCACGATGGCGAATATCCGCCATTTTTGGTTGGCATCTAATTCTCGTTAACCATTAAAACAATGTGAAAAGCAATTTTCAACCATTTACAAAGCAAATTTACCATTCGTCCAAAAAATTATAAAAAGTCGCTGTTATGTGTACTTATATTTCACAGACTGCGGCTGAAAATCCACCCAAAAATAGCGGCGTGAGAAAGGCTAATTAATGCGGTGTATTTGTTGAGGTATAATTAGTAACTATACAACATATAGAACTGATCCAAACACGCACTTATCAAAAACGCTTAACCTTAATCCGCTATACGATTTGTTATCGTGCAATTGCATGGGGCCTAATTTATGTAAATTTTCCAAATTCTTCATGGTCACGATTTGCATTGTGTTTTGTTCTTATGAACGTTTAATAAAAATTACTATTTTCTTTTATTTAAGGTTTCTCAGTTGTGTTGTTTGCCCTTTCCTGGTTCTTGCACCAGCCTGAAGAAACATCGGATGTTACTCTTTTAGAAGGCAGGAATGTCGATGGTATTTCAAGTTTTGAAACTGTCCTGTAACTTAATATTCTGTGAAACTTTATTTTATGGCAACACAAGGCAAATAAAATGCGAGATTTAGGGCTGAATGTAGGCCCTGAAGCAAACATAAGCTAATTGGTGTAAAACGTTCAGATCGTCAGTGGTTTAGACTCTCGACGACCCCTTAAAATCTGAATAAAACCAATGTAGGGGGAAACATCGATCCCGAATTTTTATTCTTATCTTCAAGTTCCACTACTTGCACGTGTGTATGTAAGCAAATTCTCTATGACAAGTTTTTGGTTTTCTGACCACCACGATATTAGGATACAACGCCTAGCTATTACTAGTTTTTACAACAATAGATCGCTGATGAACAGCATGCGAGTGTTCAAATAGTATGCCTAATTTTTTATGTGGACCCATACATGGTACTTCGACAATTATATTTTATATGACTATTGTACTTATCATAGTAAAAGTTGGCATGTGAAAACTTCTCATAGAAACGGCTTAATTTGATTTTAGTATACTGCATGCCAATTCAATTACCGTTGCCTCCAAAGGTGAATATTCACAACGGCAAAACGTCACATCTAAAGGCCATATTTTGCTGCAATTTGCAATGCAATTTCGAATATACAGTATAATCCGTCACGTTACCTGAAAAGTGGTCACCACGCAGGTATCATTAAAGTGCGTGGGTGGCCTCTCCCAGACACATTTTATAATCTCGACATTTTAACAAATTATATTTAACTCCTAAAATACGATGCATGTTTGCAGGCGCGTTCATGCCGAAGGCATGAATTTTTCTTGCAGGCATGAATTTTTCTTACAGGCACGAAATTATATTTATGACGTTTTAAAGGAACGAAAAAACGCAGTGACAAAGTTGGATCGCTTCCTTCTTTTTCACAAAACTATTTTCGTTTACCATGAATCACGTTTCCGAATTTATAATAATAATAATAATGAAAACTTTATTGAATTGTTTATGCACTTGCAATTGAAAATCTCACTGTTAAAGGTAATTTACAATTGGCTACTTGATACGCTATATATTACTACATTTACATAACACATGGACATAATTATATGATACAAAAAGTAAGAGACCAACTAGAAGTTCATTAAATCTGGATTCGACCAATCCTTGTTTCTAGAACAGAAAACGTAATATGTCGTTCTTATTGCAATGTTAATGATTTTCCTAATGATATATTTAACACCGGCCTTATCTGAGTTCAAATGTTCCAACATTTGTATGAAATGTGAAGATTCTTTTTCAAAAACACCGAGTGCACTGATTGAGAGGTTAATGAACTTTACCGGCCGGAATTTTTTCTTTTGTTCTACGATCATCTCTTTATATTTTGAATATTTGCGCTGTATATTATTCCTCAGGTTAATAATAATAATAATAATAATAATGGAAACTTTAATAATTTTGTTGTATACTATATATATACAATTGTAAATCTCACTAATTTAAGGTAACTTACAATTGGCTATTTGAATCGCAACTATATGAACTAATAAAAATGATAAGACAGAATGCATGAAAATATATAAATATACAAGACAATCAGATATTTCAAATAGTTAACAAGTCCGGACTTTCCCATTCCTTATTTCGGCAGCAAAAAATATAGTATGTACTTCGAATGGCAATAGTCATCATTTTCCTAACACAGTACGTTTGGTAATAATAATAATAATAATAATAATAATAATAATAATAATAATAATAATAATGATAATAATAATAATAATAATAATAATAATAATAATAATAATAATAATAATAATAATAATAATAATAATAATAATAATGGTTTATTATATTCACTAAGTAGCTTGATAAGCTAAAATACAGTGATGTTTACAATAATAGAACTTTTAGAATGATAAAATTTAATGTAAAAAGTATTAATACTATGCTGTCTACTAAACTAAAGCTACTTTAATGTAAAAAGTCTTAAAACTATTGTCATATTTACAGATAGAATTAGATTATGTTAGTTATTACTCACTATAATATATAAACCCTTTTTCTTACTTATCAATATAAAAATTATATTTGCCAATTGCATATACAATTGGACTATGTTTAAAACGTTCTGTTTTACATGCAAAGGTATAGTACGTTGCCTCATTCATTCTCGTCTGTCGTTGCTTTATTTGGGACGTTTTCTTTGGTAAGAGGTGGTTAAGTTTATGATTCGGGTTTGACATGTCCTTAATAAGTTGGACACATATGTCATCGCGTCGGTCGGTTAGCGTTTTGAGGTTCGATTCCATTAGTGCTTCGTAGTACTTTAGTTCCGGATAATTCCGCCTTAACTTATAAAGAATTATCTCCCTTTACGATTCGAACTTGTTGAGTATCAATTAAGGGAATAGCTATATCGTCAAACCAAAGTTATTTTTCTTGAACCCCCACGAGCCCTTGTGGTGTTCAGCTATAAAGGCTGCCCCGAGAACAGATTCCGTCATGCTTTCAACAACAAGAAACTTCCAAGTGGTATTTAAACTCCCTAAATTTAACGATACCTCAGTCTCACCCTTAACAACAATTGGCTGATGAGTTATTGAAACTGGATGCACTTGAGATTCTTTAATAATTAAACCTGGTACATCTGCAGAAATCAAACTTACTTCTGCACCAGTATCTATGAGAAAGTTTGTCTCCACATTGTTTACAGTAGCTCTAACATGATAACCTTTATAACTATTTACCTCTTGTACTGTGTTGACTTTCGTTTGTTCTACTGGACTTCGATAAGGATACATGATGGTCAGTTTCGAGTCCAGCGTCCTTGTCCTTTACAAGCCCGACAGATATCAGTAGGTTCAGGTCCAGGTCTTACTCTTCCTCCCATACGCTTACCTCCTTTCTTCACAACTGCAGCCTTCTTGAACATTTCCTCGACCTTCTGCTCCACTGTTCTCTGAACAATGTCCTCTAGGTCACCATGCTCTTTACTCTTGTATACAGGCATCTCCATTGCTGCAGATACTTTCTTGGTAACTCCCTGTTCCTCTTCCAGTGTGGAAATTTGCTTCAGAATACTTTCCACTGGCCTTTCCAAAAGGTCATCTTGTCGAATCAACACCTCCTTTAGATCTTTATCCAGGCCATTGATAAAATGACATAATACATCCTCATTCTTTTTCTTATTATAGAATGCCAATGCTCCTTCTTGCTTAAATCTTCCTTTTTGACCTCTGCACTTGCTCCTTCAGGCAAGGAGTCAACCGTGGGAGGACTATAAGCCCTTTCATGTGCTAATCTCAGCTCTGCTAGATAGGAATGCAATGTCTCTCCACTCTTCCTGCATCTGCCATTAAAGACTTTCTTGTATTTTAATAATGCAAGACCACCCTCATACCTTTCTTTTAACGCCCCGGAAAGTTCTTTATAACTCTTCCGTACAGATTCTTGTTGCTGGTGGTGCATCATTAGTCAAAAATACAGCCAGAAATTGGCCAGCCTTCTCGTCCGACCACTCGTTTACGGCCACGTAAATCTCGAAATCTCTAAGAAACTCGCGGATATCATCCTCTCCAGAAAATTTCTTGTCTGGGAGAACAGTCTTTGTTGATCCCATGCTGCCACCAGTGTAAACTCACGCACTAAATCGTTATATATTTACTGAGAACAAAATAAAAACAGCAAAAACATATCTTTTGGAATCACACACAAAGCGCCAACACAACTACGTCCTAGTGCGCATGCCCCAGTCATTACTCATTAGTTCCCAGTCCTTACATATGTCTTGGTAGTTCCCACTGACAGGCGGCTCTAAGATCTGCCACCTGAGTGGGCTATTGGTCAAAAGCGGCAAGTACCACCTTACACAAAAGCTGTGAAACAGCACTACTAATAACAAAATTCAAGACAAACTGCACGTCCGTTATTTCATTCTTACCCAACCTGTTACATGTATAGTCAGTTCATATGTAGAAATCTCATTTTCTTGTGTTAGGATTCCCACAACTCTCAAAGAATTACCTAAGTTGGGTACTGTTTTCCTGGTCAAAGGTAACCTGAAGTTCAGCCCCTAATTTGAAATAGGGCCTGACACAAAACCTGTCTAACCGTGGGACGCCCACATGTTATTTTTAGACACAACATGCAATATGATTGACAAGTGTTGTAGCTAGATTTCGTTACACAAAAAAAAAATATTCTCATGAACATGTCCGCAGAGTGTGCATTTTGCTTTTTAATTAAACTTAAAAATTCAAGGTACTTTTATATAATTAAGAGTCAGTTTCTCTATTTAACCGAATAGCAAACAAAGATTTAATTAGTTCTGTGCACGGCTTGACTGCCAAGCTTTCTCAAGGTCTCAACTTGCTGGACGCGGATATACTATAATGGGCTAACAGCAGCAACAATGAAATTCTCAATCGTACAACCAAGAAAACAACGCCGGTAGGACATGATATTAAAAATAAGACTTTTGCCGGCGAAGCCAATTGGCAGAACATCTTGGCTGTCAACAACAAGCTTTCGAATACATGACTAATTTGGCTGTTCTTTCAGCGTCGTGTGTCCAAATTTCGTCAAAGATTTTGATAAAGCCCTTTCAAAATTATGTTGTTTCATTTATTTTCTGCCATAAAGCATAAAAGAAAAGAAATTCGAAGAAATCGATAATGGAATTTGTTACGTGCGTTTGACTTTTATATTAATTGTCGCCTTGAGCCCTTGACCGAGCTATTTTTAAAACTGTTGTTTATGTGAACTTGCAACCAATAAAAATCCTTCATGATGCTGATCAACCAATCAGATTTCCCGTCCACCAGATGGGCGGGAATCCCACAGTATAGATAGGTTTGTGTCAGGCCCTATTCTGTGATTAGGGCCTGAACTTCAGGTTAGGTCAAAGGTAAACAACTATTTGCATGCAAGAAACTATTGAACCTAGCCTTCAAGGTCATGGTAAAAAAGACAACATATTTGTACTTAAGTCCAGTTTCCAATGGCATTTTGTAGTTTCAAAGTAGTGTACACACATAGTTGTTGCAATACCTTTTACATAACATGCTTACTAAAAGGAAAGGTATGGGAAATTAAAAGTAAAAATACACCTCGATCCTTGACTTATTAAATTTTTGAGTGCTATTCCATCCATCAAATTATCTAAAATGATTATTTTTATATCTCATTTTTCTTTGTTTACTTTATCAATATGATCTATTATATTTCTAAAGTGTTCAGTTTAAGATTTATAAACAGTCAATATAATAGCATGACTCTATATAATAAGCATTTATGCAATGTGATTCACCTTATTACAAACCACCTACCGCCAATGTAGCCACTGAATAATGCAGGCATTCTTTTTCCGCAGCTTTGTTTTCTGGGTATATGTTAAATAGCAAAGAATAAAACAATTTGGGATAATTTGGCTAGGAGTAACCTTTCTCCTAGCCGATTTATTGAAATTAATAAAACAATAATTAATAATATATATGTATGAAAATATTAACAATTTTGCCCAGAAAAGGGTGGAGGCAGATTATCGCCAAATCATCGAAGCAAAACGGAGATGAAACCCCACCCCAAGGAAAAAGAATGCACGCTCATCCGGCGAGATTTATGGGCCACGAAGGCAACCAAGTAGCTTATATCAGCAAAAAGTAGAAATGTAGCCGCCCTTGCAGACTACGGCAGGCGAAATTTTGTCATGCAATGTTACTTTGCCTAAGCCCAAGTTTTTGACAGATACAATATTGCCACACCAGTCCTTCATTGAATTAAACATTGGATTGCCTTGTCTGTCCTTACTAAACAGGCAGATAAAATTGCGAAGTAAAACACCCAGGTCAATTGCACAATACGCACTACGTAAGAGAATATACGACATCGCCCGTGCTGATGACATATCGGTGCAATGCGAGTTATGCAACCAAAGGGCGCTGACAGATTGCATGATTGCCCTTGCTAATCACGCTCAAAATCATGCATGGGAAATTTCAGATAAAATTAAGGATAAAACACCCCGCATGTTTTATGCTCAGAAATCAAGGTTAAATGGGGTTTATGTCGATATAGTAGAAATTCGCAAGTGTTTTAGAAACGCGTTCGATTTCCAACGCCCCAACGCACGGATTTGCGCATCAGAATAACCATTTTCTCAAGCGTGGGAAGCTGCCCCAATCCGAAAAGAATGTGACTTATATTTTGAGGTATCCAAACCGCAATCGCGAAAAGCCCTTTTAAGTTGAGTGGCGAATTCGTCACGCGATACTGGAGTACCGAGGTGTGAAACAAAAATAGCCCCCGGCTGAGTGCCGCGCAAAACCAAATAGTCAAGGATCAATTGCACGGGGCAAGCTGTGTTTTGCCGATAAATTTCTAAAGTAAAAGGCCGCTGGTTGTAATTATGCTTAAAATTTTGAAATGTTAACTTCAGGCCTGCCACATGGTTATTCGTGTCATATATCCGCGAGAGCTGGTGTATTTGTAGGGGTTGGTTATGTGATGATGTGATCGTTATTTCTCCAATCCGCAGAAAAGCAAAAAATGCTAATGAGCACATAGCTTTAAATTGACATATCTGATAGTGAGAACCAGAAATGTGAGGCGAAGCCTCAATAATGCGGTTGAGAATTGGTAGTGTTATAGGCAATCGACTGTCTAAACGGAAGCCCTTTTTTCCATACCCCTTAAGTATTTGCACAATGTAAAAAACTCTCGTCGGATCTGGTAAATTTGACAATCGATGAGAATAACCAATAGCAGACACATATGTGTTAACTGTTGATGGAGCGTAGTTGAGGTCAAATAAATAAGCAATAAAAAGTGCCAAGACGGAGGGCGACAAAGGCAAAGCTACTGAGCCCACGTGAAAAACATTTAGATGGAATTGTGTAAAAAGTGCCCATGCCCGCCTATACGTTGGAATCGAAGATGGTTGAAGGCTGGATTGAGCCAAATCGCCAACTATATTGGCCAGCTTCCGGGCTGCAGGTGAGATGGAATGTGCGTTGGAAATCGATGCATGTAAGCCGGTGCCAATTGTAGAAATTTTTGGATCTGAAATCGAGATAAACTATCAGCTAGTATGTTTCTGCTACCAGCTATATGTTTCGCTCTAAATAATATATTATGTTCCAAACATATTAATACCATTTTACGTACTAAGGTCATAAGACCGGAATCTTTTGAAGTCTGTTTGTTGATAACAGAAACCAGAGCTTCGTTGTCAGTGAAAAAGATTATACACTGATTGTGCATTTTGTGACCCCACAAATATAAACTGAGTACAATCGGATAAAATTCAAGTATGGCAATATTATAATTCCGCCAAGTCGCCGGCCATTTTCCATAGCACCAGTCAAGGCCGAATATAGCACCAAAACCAATAGCGCCAGATGCGTCCGTATATAAGTTAAGTTTATGGTTGTTGCTCCAGTGATCGTCCAAAAATAGGGATTTGCCGTTAAAAGAAGATAAAAATTCCTGCCACACGCGAAGATCATTTTTGACATTGCGCGTCAGCCGAATGAAAAAATGGGGACGAGAGATGCCGCGTGTTAAATCTATTAATCGTCTTAAAAACGCGCGGCCTGGGACAACAACAGAACAAGCAAAATTTAGTAGGCCAAGCAAAGACTGAAGCTCTCTAAGAGTAACTTTTTTGCGACTCAAAAAACTGGCAATGGATTGGATGCACTTCTCGATTTTTTCGCGAGGCAAACGAGCCTCGCATTTAAGTGAATCCAATTCAATACCAGCGAACGTAAGTGTCGTCGAGGGGCCAAATGTTTTGTCTGGTGCTATGGGAATGCCGAGAAACTCACAAAGGGAAATAAATAACTCTAAATGGACTTTACAAACACAATACGGGTGAAGGCTATTTCAGATACGGTAGAGCACCTAGTCCCCAGGCCCTTTAGCTCTTGACCCAACTGAGCAGGGCTAATTAATTATGTATGCAATGATTGATGCTCTTGATACGGTCAATATGGAAGTACTACATACTCCAAATATTGACAATATTGTCGATAAAGAAAATCCTTTTTTCGGTTATGTGAGTTCTTTAGAAAGAGCATTGGAGATTGTGAGAGACTACGAAATTGCGACAACGACAAAATTCACAGTCTACACGAAAACTAAACACTTCGGAGCTGCCGGTAAGCTACACGCGGTCTTGCGCGGGAATATTTAAAAATATTCTGCCGTCAACATCAACCATATTGCATAGACGTGTTCGTTTTATAGCAATACGCAGTCAATACATGCACTTTTAAGTTAGTATGTTTTTCTGCTCATATAAATTGATACGATATTACTCTATCGGCCCGAAATACAGTCTGTATTCAAAGTTTTTCGCTATCAAATTGCTATAAACAGCATATCAAAGTCCAGACAATATGTGTGTCGAATTACACATCGTTTATTAATGCATTATTGGCTTTATCGAATACCATAGACAGAACCTTCAGAATCTGTAGCACGTACACACAAAAGTGTACACACATTAGTTTGCTTTCGCCTTTTGTCATTGCAATTTTAAAGAATGCCTCTACTTCGTGCTGCGATGGGCAAATCACTCCCAATGTTTTTTTTTTTTATGATAGACCGTCGGCCCCCCAAAAATTGTCCACCCCGGAAATATTTTTAATAACCGATAATTACGCACGTTTAACAGCCTTTAATCCGCTTTTTAAAAGGGAAATACGCTATCTGCGCTAAAAAAATAAGTAAAAGTAATGAGATTATTGGAGGTAGTGATTTGACATCGTCTGCCTAGGTACAGCCCAAGTGAATATTAAAGAAAATTAGTATTTCTGTACAGGGCCGCAGTGGCGTGCTGGCAGGGGGGGCCGGGCGGCCACGGCCCCCCCAGCGGGCAATTTTTGGGGGGCGCAAAAATGAAAAGGGGGCGCCGATCCCGCGCCGAATTTTGAAAGTAGGTGGGAAGAAACGCATTCGAAAAAATATAGTTGCTAATTCTGCCAAGGAAAGATGTGTTTATTGACTTATAAACAGACTAAGCGCATAGGCGACAAAGTGAGTATATTAAATTGCAGACTATTTTGTCTAACCGTATTTGCTACCTCACGACTCACACGAAATCACTCGTTCATATAGAAACATGATCAGTGATCACACGCAATGTCTCATTACCTGAATATTGATCAGGCTTCGAAGCGATCATGGGAATTATGCCCTTTTTTGCTGGTATTATACCCTTATATTATGCCCTTTATTATGCTTCACGAATCACGAGAGCGGCGCAAATTAGATAGTTGAAGTTATGACAATGTAAAGTTGTGTATGCAATTTAGTTGTTTGCGCAATAAACATTATGAGTAATGTAAGTAATCAGATAATGATGAAACACGCCCTTTTGGCAGCCAGGCAAGGAAACCTTAAAATGCATATGCGTGGGTTCCGTGTGTTATTGTATAAAAGAGCTGTAAGTTGTAAATGTATTCAGATCAGTAGAGAATAAAATTGGGATTAGATTAATTGCTGGAAGTAGTTAGCATTGCCCAATTTAAGTGCTGCTACTAAATTCTAACCAATTTTCAAATTTCGACACGTTGTAATGCCCTTTCCTGACCATCAGATTTCTGTCAAATCTTCCCCCAAAGTCCAGGAAATGACATTTCAGAGACTCTAGATTCAAAAATTTTCCTGGGGGGCATGCCCCCGGACCCCCCTAGAACAACCCCGCACCTGCGGCGCTCGGCTCGTGCCTTCGACCCTCGTTCATCAAGGGTAATATTATAGGGGCGCATATTAGTTGCCAGACGACTGGCCCCCCCAGAAAAATAGTACCCAGCACGCCACTGCAGGGCCGGATTAACGTTCCGCGGGGCCCCTTGACCCCTCCCCCCCCCAACCGCATTTTAGACACTGAATTATAAAGATTAAAAAAATATTTTGTATTTCATGCGTTGAAAAGTTTCCTTTGTGTTTACAAACTGAAAAAAGAATTATAAATCAATCAATTTGATAGAACTGAAATTCAACCCAGTTTATACCATTAACATTCTTATTATTTACAGGGAAAACATGATAGCGTCCATATATAAACTTCTGCCATCTTCCACAAAATTCAGCAATCTTTTAGTATTAACAGTTTAGTGCAAATTTTGAAATTTTCTGACCCCAATAACTTTTTTTGGCCTCGCTTTTTGGAGCCCCTTGCCAAAAGAAGGAACAAAAAAATTTGTTTGCGACCCTGCTTTTGGAGCCTCGCTTTTTTTTCGGGGGGGGAGCTTCGCTTTTGGGGGCCTTGAACTCTTTGGGTCCCCGCGCTGTTTGGATCCCGCGCTGAAACAAGGAACAAAAAACCGTTTGGGACCCCGCTCTTTGGGGTCTAGATTTTTAAATTTTGAGGTCTGACGTTTTCCGGGGACCTTGGGCTCTTTGGGCCCCGCACTGGCGCACTGTTTGGGCCCCGCGCTGAAACAGGGAACAAAAAATTCGGAAAAAAATAGAAGAGAGTAAGCGCAGGGCCCTCAAAAGCGTGAGGCCCGCGGCATATGCCGCTTCTGCCATATGGTTAATCCGACACTGGTTCTGTAACGTTAAAAGACGTTTGCATGGTTGAACTCAATCTCGGACCCAGGGTACTTTGGGCTGCACTTGCGCGTATATATAACCAACAAAATGGAACCACTACACACCAATCATTGCGCTTCAGACTATGACCAGAACTCGCAACGCATATCACGGGAATCAAAATCTGGGACTGAAAAGCCTATCCCGTTTGACGGAGTGCCGTTCTATTTGGTGGGTACGAACATCTTGGAATGCCAACGTGGGGTCGACAGAAACGTTTACCAAAAGAAGAAGCACGCATCAAAGTTTGTGGTAAATAATTTAAGTTTACAATTATGCGCTGTCATTGCACTTTTGTAATTGTTTACTGCTGCGTGTCTATATGTTCTTTCCAGTACTAATCTCGCGGTGCATCTTGTTTGCATGAAAAATCTATCAAGCGATAAACAAAGTCATAATTTTTCGTTTACCGATAGGAGGGAGATTTTACAATGAAAAAGAGGCGTTTCTGGAAACAAGATAGTAAAAAACTAGATTGTACGGCGACTATACAAATGAAGGAAGTGATAAAATTTCCGGATTATAAGGTAAATTATTAAGCCTGGTCTTCACTAGCGAAATTACCAATTAATTGTACATTATTATTATTATTTATATATTTTAATGTGCGCAATAAAAAAATTCTTTTATGTGAGCAAACAAAGGCAGCACGAGGAAACAGTTTTCTTTGTGCTTTGTGAAAAGTACTTCTGCATTCATTGCAATAATTGTCAAATAAGTTTGCTTGCAGCTTCAGCAAGCATTTTAATATTTGCAAAACTTATACCATAAAAGTTTTATTCTCAGTAATGTTAGTAATGATAGTAATACCAAACTTATAGGTGCATCAGGATGCTAAAAAGAAGAAGCGCGACACCACCTCTGCTGATTTGCGGACAGATCTAAAAACCGGCGCTGTCAACACGGAACGCAGAATATACATCTCCTTTCCACATCCAAACGAGCACACCACGCACAGGCTTGGAGTGGTATGATGGTTCATATTCAATTGATAAGTTTTTAACTTATATACTAGTCAACAACCCAACCATGCTATAGTATAGATCTCTAAGCAGCACATGTGACGATAGGCTCGTTTGAGATCTATATATTGAAATACAACTTACAACAAATGAACGAGACTCTGACTCAATATATATAATTAAAATTATGGTTCATTTATTAATTATTTAACAAATATAAAAAAAATTTCCGTGTTGATATACAGTTATATCAACACGAGTGGAAATGGGGAAAATGAGAAATTGTGTGGAAACACGACTCCCGAAGGGCGGAGTGTTTCACACAATTTCTCGTTTTCCTCATTTCCACGAGTGTTGATATAACTGTATAACAATAGGGAAAAATGTTTTATATTTGTTTTATAATATAGCACAAAGAAATATAAAGAAAGAAATTTTCCGACGTTTCCGTGTTGACATTGAGTTATATCAACACGGCTCTTAGCCAATCAGCATCTAGAATTTACAAATGCTACATTATAATATACAATATCGCACTCATGTAGTAAATCACTATAAAGTCCTAGGACTGGATAAAATTAATTCAGGCCTTGTACTGGATCAAAATTAATTCACCTCAATTTAAGTAGTGATTTATTCGCATGAGATGTCATTTCAAATCCTCCAATTCGGACTGGACTATATTCCTCGCATTTTTATCCAGTGAGGACTTCACCATCTAGTTCAGTCCTCATGTCAGATTTGAAATATTACTTCAGTTATACCTTATTCCAGCTGAGTGCTACGGCAACAAAACTTCATAAGCCATAAAAAGCAGACTCCTAATTTTAAATGTTACAAACCGTTTTCTTTTCTACAGCACAGTGGATTGACACAAAGATTAGATGAAAACGTTATAAGAAAAATTGAAGAGCTTGTCGGCGAAGGGGTGCGAAGTGTTAATGAGATGAGACGTCATCTGAAAATATACATTAAAGATGATCTTTTTCGAGGTAAAGAACAACCGCAACGTAGCAATAAACGATACTTTCCCCGGGCTAAAACAATACAAAATCACATGTATAACGCGGCAATGCGAGCAAGACTTTCTTTGATGGATCAAGACAACGTTCAGCAACTTATACAGAAATGGAAGGACGAAAAAGGATCAACAAATGATAGATTTTTTTTCCGCCCATACATTGAAGGAAGTGGTGAATTTCGGAATACGGAACTATCCGATGAAGAAGACGGCGATGACGATGTTGCTTTGAATGACGAGGTTATAACGACTGCAAAGGAACAACAAGGGCGTCTTTTGTTCGTTCACCAAACAGCTTGGCAATCGCGGTTACTTTCTCGATATGGTCAGGAACTCGCTTTCTTAGATGCCACCTACAAAACCACAAAATATTCGTTGCCTTTATTTTTTGTCGCTGTTAAAACCAATGTGGATTACATTATCGTTGCATCGTTCATTGTGCAAGATGAAACCACGGCGAGTATAACGGAAGCTCTGAGTATTCTGAGTCAATGGAATCCACAATGGAAGCCACGGCATATGATGACAGATCTTTGTGAAGAAGAAATAAATTCAATAGAGTCAGTTTTTCCAGGTATAATGTATACGGTTGAACTATACATGCATATTTGCATACTAGGGCTTTGGTTAGTTTTATCTTTGCAATATTTGGCTAAGGTTGACTAAAATCATTGTAGTCTTCGCCTAGTCTTTCCAGATACGTATTTAAATATCAATGGATTAAAGTGACATGAAACTGTTATATCACTTTAATCCATTGATATTCAAATAAAGTCCAATATAAAAATATGAAACGTCTATTAAATTTAAGGTAGTAACACCCAAAAACATGATGGGAGACGGGGCTTCGTTTTTGTGGTAACCCTGTAGATGAACCATCTTAATTTTTAGATTGCCAAGTGCTTCTCTGCGACTTTCACCGAGAGCAAGCTTGGGAGCGTTGGACATCTAAAAAAGACAACGGGGTTGCGGACAATCGCGAAAATATATTGGCATTGATGAGGCAGTTAGCACGGGCCAGGACTGAAGATCTCTACGAAAATGCCCTAAGGAAATTAAAGGATACGTGTGAATGGAAGACGAATACGAAATTTAAAAGGTGGATGGAGAATACGTGGTTACGACACAAAAAGGTAAAAAAAGGAACAACTGCTACTGTATTACCATATGAATGCCCAATCAATTCTAAAATCGGTGCAATTGTGCTCAAACGATTACTATTTGAAGCATGGGTGTTGCAGAACGAAATTTTAAGGTACTAATCCACTGTTTTTCAAGCGAATTGATAGCTACCCTATTCTTTGATAGCCACCCTCCCACAGGCAGTATATTTTATGTTTTTTCAAGTGTAAATATTTAGACAGGACATATTTGTTCTTTACAGAGATGGGTGTGGGCATTCAGAAAGGAACGTCTGCTTGTTCATGTTGGTACAAACAACGGTTTGGAACGTCAAAACGGGGCCTTCAAACACCAGTACCTAAAAACTCTACGAAAGCATTCACTCAGTGCTATGCTCACGATTCTTGTAAATGAATTTCTTCCTGACAAATATGAAGGGTAAATATGATAAATATAAAGCACTGTCAACAGTCCACCCTTGAAACATTTAAAACAATTGAGGTACTATGTAAGTCTTGAGGTACTATGTGAGCTTAAGAAAGCGACGTTTTCGACAATTCACACGGGCATAACGCGTACAGTATATATAATAGCGTCAGCAGTTCTTATTATTTTGAAACAGTCAATAAAACCTGAATAATTCAGCCCGAGAAATAATCACACAACCACACACGTACCTTAACGACTGTGGTGACAAACAGTTCCCTTGCTTGGGCTCTCTACATGTAATATCCTTGTAGGTGCCTTTGTAAGAAATGAAATATGTTTAAAAAATTTTATCATAAATTGTACTATATACTCAAGAGGTCTAACAACGAAACTAGTTAACGCCAATTAATACAACGAGTGTCGAAAGGGATTTTTAGAACTTTTAGTATTTTAAAGATTTAGCATTTTAGCATTTTAACATTTCATTACGCTTTTTAAGTGATGCTTAGCAAACCTTTCTTGGCTAAAACTCGCGAAATTTCACTATATGTAATATTACTGGCTAAGTGTTATTTCGTAATTTCCTTTTCTATAATTTCTGTTGCAGTTACATTAATGGGAACACTAAATGTTCTACGGCATACAAACGTTACAACAAACAGATTCCAGCATTTCTGCATAACCGTCCTAGCTACCTGGTTGACCATTGCATGAAGAGACTTGTTAATGCTGAGGAAATCAATTCTATTAATTTGGCGGATGATTCGATCGGTGCATTTTCAGTGCACAGTGAAACGGGAAGTCACAGCTACAATGTATACTTTAGGGCGCCTCAAGATAATGAAATACTAAGCTGCGAGTGTATTGACTGGCAAAAAAATTACTTACCCTGCAAGCACATATTGGCGGTCATCCAAAACAAGAAATACGACAATTGGAAGTGGGAAAATTTGCCAACAGAATATAGAGAATCTCCTTTTTATACCTTGGACATCGATATACTGTTTAAACCAATTGACCATACCTTAGACAAAGTTGATAAGAATCAGCAGGACTGCAGTATGCAAACTGGTACCCAAAACCCTGAAAGGACAACAGAGGAAGTTACCACCACAGAAACTATGACAGCTGAACTTCCAAAACCAGCGTTTCCTAAACGAACAGCTGTTACTAGATGCTGTGACCTCATATCAAGGATAAAAAACTTGGTTTATGAGTGCACCAATTCGACATCATTGGCCAATCTAGAGAAAACTCGTCTCACAGCATTTAGGGAGTTGGAGGACAATAGTAACACCGATGAAGGTTTAACACTTACAGCACCTGACACTAGTGTCAGTTCAACTAAACGTAAGAAACGCAAACCAAGCAAATCTGACAATCAGCTAAAGAAGAAATTAAAATTGTCCAAGCTAAAATCTGTTCCGGCAAAGAAGAAGCATCCTTTTAACAAAAGAGTTGGTCAACGTGCAGCAATGATGAAGAAATTTTTTAAAACAGACTTGTCCCTGACAGAAATGGAAAAAGCTCAGTCATCCTGTAATGATACCTATACAGTTGAGTCTTCAGCACACTATACAAACTTTACGCCAATAATAAGAGAAGGTTCATCACTAACGGCAACACTGCTTAAGAATGGACCACACTCTGTATCTCTGCTGGAGGTTAAGTCATTAGAGCCATTTTTACCCAGAGGAACACAGGTGTTGCTTAGCAGTGTAAGTGAAACAACATTCATACCTGGTTGGTTATATGATGAAATAATTAATTCATTTTTCTGGTGCCTGCAAGAAAAATATTCAAATGTTCTATATGCAGATTCCACATCAATGCTATCCCTTCAAAATGGTAGTCGAGCGGGAAGGCTTTGGGCAGAAAAAGGAACTGAAAAGATAGAATTTATCATTGCTCCTTGGAATCCAAGCAATTATCACTGGATCCTTGTAGCTATAGATCTTCTACAGAAGAAGATGCTTTATGTGGATCCATTGAATTCAGCTACAGAGATCCAAAACAGTGCACACATGCAAATCCTGGTAGAGTTTTTGCCTTCACTTCTTGAACGAAAGTTTGGTGTATCTGGGCTTCAACTCATCTCTCCACCACACACACTCCAACCTGATTCCTCCAGCTGTGGGGTTCTGGTTTGCTGGTATGCCTCACAGTTTGTCCAAGGAAAGTCACTGATTGACAATTGTGATACATATGCTATGCGTGTTGCCATTTACAATGAAATACGAGGAACTTGTTTAAGGCGACGCTCAGGATCTCGACACTTAGAACTATCCAAATGTCCACTTTGCAGAGCCCCAGTTCTTGAAGATGATGAAAAGTCAGAATGTAGAAGATGCTGTCAATGCTACCATTTATCATGCATCTCATCAGAACAACAGCCTGCAAGAAACATCCCACACTTTCACTGCCCACCTTAAACTACTTGACGTTTAACATTGTACTGGCTTTACATTATGTTGTATATTGGCAGTATGACATTCTACTATTTGCCAAAAGAGAGATCATGAATTTGGCTCATATTTATGTACAGGTGTATATGTACCACATAATATCACAGTAACACAGAATACCAGTTTTTTTATTCCTCTTATAAAATTTGAAGGAAACATGCTAAGTATATACTGTACTTTATTTTTGTGAATATATATTAGTTTTAGTCTCAATGGTCATATAAAATGGATATTTTCATAAAATTCTTAAAAATAATCAGCATAAACAACAAATAAAATTCCTTATTTTTGGTATTTCTTTTCTGCTTAATGCCCGTAAAATCAGAAAGTTTGAAAATAAGTTTGCAAACCAACATGATTTACCAGTACATTCATCAACAGTTTTTCTAAGCGATACAACATTTTTACTATTCAGGAATCTCACGGAGTAATAAAATTTACTATAAAAAACTTAATTTTTCAAAATTATTGGTAAACCTAATATTCTGTGGTACATACCACTGGTATTCTGTAGTGATTTTTGTATTTACCTTCCACTAATTAAGTTAGCAATATCTGTAAAGTGTTATCACACAACATGACATACCAAATATTTGTATAATTTGATAAACCGTTCCTTACTTATTGCCGCACATGAATTCTGTGGTACATTAGGATTTTATCCATAGAATGGCCAATTTATTAAATAATAGAATTGGCCTAAATCTAACACCAAGACCCCACAGGAAGAAAAAAACAATGAAAAACTATACTAAAATTTTTTTAACAGGCTATGTTATATACATTTGACAAAAGATATGGAACATGTAAATTTGTGTGGTATTCTGTGGTACATACACCTGTATAATAAAATTTAAATTGTAAAAAAACTCACATGCTTTGTATAAAACAAGGGGTATAAATTAGCATTACCAAAGTTAGCATGCCTTTCTCAATGTAATTATACGCAGTGAATCTAGAGGGAGGCTTTTAAATTAATCTACATAATATTTAGTAAACTGCCGGGTATATTGTGACTATGTGGTGTTTACTTACGTGGTGTTTCCACAAACAAAACTATTATATGTTTTATCGCCATGCAAACATACAAACAACTTACATTGTGACTACAGTTAAAGTTGAATTTTTATAAGATAAACCAATCCCTACCCCCAAACCCTTCTCTAACCCTAACCCCTACCCTTGTAGAATCAAACACTATTTAATTGCTATTTAATTCCTATTTTATTGGGCTATTTAATTCCTATTTGTCAAAGTATTTATTTCCTATTTTTACTATTATTTTTTTTCGAGGTTTTTCCTATTTAAATTGGGGTAGAAAAGCTATTTTTTTCCTATCCAAGTGGAACCATATTTTTTTCCTATTCATGATATATTTCAAAACAAATACTTAATTGATGTACTCGAATAGAAATTAAATAGGTTTCAAATATGATAAAAATAGAGCTATTTAAGGAAATTATTAAAAATATATAGTTTCGACATAGTTAATAAATATGTATGAAATAGTTAAAACATAGTGACAATATAGGTATAAAATATGTAATAAATAGTTGAAATGAGTTTCAACTAAGTTTAAAATAGTCAATAAATAGTTTAAAAATAGTGATATTATAGTTTAAAAATAGATAATAAATAGTTCAAAAATAGTGATAATATAGTTTAAAAATAGATAATAAATAGTTCAAAAATAGTGATATTATTGTTTAAACATAGATAATAAATAGTTCAAAAATAGTGATAATATAGTTTAAAAATAGATAATAAATAGTTCAAAAATAGTGATAATATAGTTTAAAAATAGATAATACATAGTTCAAAAATAGTGATAATATAGTTTAAAAATAGATAATAAATAGTTAAAATACATCCCAGCTTGTTAAAATAGTTAATAAATAGAGGATATAATATTGCCCAAATAGATTAAAAATAGTTAAAAAATAGTAATAACATATTAAATAAATAGTTAAAATATGTCCTGTTAATACAGTTAAAATAATTATTAAATATAGTGTATACAAATACATATAGCCTATAAATATTTTTAAAATATATTATAAATACCAGTAGTTAACATAGATAATAAAAAGTTAAAACATATAATGTAAATAGTCTTTAAATAAAATATTATTAGTAAAAAAAATTGAGAACAAGTGTAGAAGTGCTGAAACATCAGAGGCTATTACGGACCCTACTTTAGTATTTACCGTCTGTAAATGCCAGACAATTTTACTTATCAGTAGGTAGAGGTCTGTCAAAAAATCAGTTAAAAATTTGTAGTTAGCAGTCTCTATAGTAGTCAAAGAGTTAAGTATATACATACAATAACTTGGCTGGGGACCGGGCAGAAAAAAAGCAAGAACATCATGTAACATCAAGAATAGGGCGAAGCTCAGCTGCAGCTAGTTCAGGCCTTCTTTACAGGTTAGAAAAAACATTTATATATTTGAATAATACCCTGAATCTAGCTGGATATTTTTCAACTATCCAACATATACCCTGTATGGAGCTGCATAGCAAAAACATTCTATCCTGCACACCCTACAAAGAACTTCATTCTTCAAGTAAGTAAGGTAAGAGCAAATTGCTCCTTTATAGGTGTTAATATTTAGGTGAGATATGGGCGAGCATGCCACAGTCGGTAAGTAAAATTGTCTAGCATGAAATGTCAGAGTTAAATAATAATATCAAAGTACTTAAGTAGGAAGTGTTTGATGTCAACATGAAACATGGGCAGAGTCTAGTACGCTAGCTAGACACTTCCCTTGATGAATAAATTGTCCGGCATTAGGCAAGATAACATTTAATAACAAAGTGCTGAATATTGGGCCCATTGGAGTGAAATGGGTAATTCCAAAAACAATCAAACCCTTGCCGGGGTGTCTCTAAAATATATAAAATGTAGCCCAAAGGTTGTTACATATATTATTAAGCAGAACATGTGGTGTATTAACTAAATGTATTCATAAGTTTGAACAAGCAAACTAAGGACTTTAACTGTTTCCAGTTAGGGACACATCTATAATCAAGTTGCCACATATGACAACAACACATCAAATTGATATTTTTATCTATCTTAAACTCACCTACCTATATATCAATAAATATTGGAAACTTATGAAAGTACCAGTTAATTTGAAACCAGTCGATAAATTTTCTCAAACCATGTTTAGCTGGGACATGTCTGGGTAGGCACATGAGAATTGAGTAGATGCCATCATGTCAAGCTATATTATTTTATACAACAAACACTGGAATCTGTCATACTGTCATATACACTATAGTATACACAAAGATCAAAGTATACTATTTGGCATTACAATAAACATCATTTATAAATATAAAGGCTGAGTCAAATGTAAGCCATTCTATAAAACTAATGTTGCTTTAATTCAAATATTGTCGCAGCAAATTGAAATTTTAAGCCGGAACATGTGCTCAAAATTCACGAATGAAGATAGTAAATATTTCCTTTCAAAATTGCTCTATTTATATATAAAACATAACAAAATTCTTACCTGGATGTCACCCAGTCATCCCTGTCCTTTTATCTTTACAGTAAGTAACATTTTCGCTCAATAAAAGCTCTGTATTTGAGCCATTTCGAGCGGAAAGTTTAAAACAAAAAAAATTTAAAATATGGCGTTGTGAATTGTGACGCTATCCAGGGCGCTGTAAAACACGGGCGGTGAAACGGCTATGGCGCCCCTGATCTATGTGTGATGCAGGTCCCCCCGCATATTTTCATTTTTATTCGAATTCGATGTGGTTTGATCAGGCATGCATGTTTGTTTTGACTTCTTTTTAAAATTACTACGTAAAAAGTACAACTCAAGCTGAATTCACAATGGATTTGGGATCTGTGCTATTACTATAGAAAAAATCTTTTTTCCGGATTCTTAATCACGGCTGATTATATGGGGAATGTTGTAGTGTAAGATATAAGTCTCACTCACGAGGATCGATTGTTTTTGCAAAACAACTTCGTTCGTTTATAAGATGAAAAAAAAGACGAAGAAAAAGTTTTTTAAACGGCTGTTGTTGTAAAACCTGCAACTGGAATGTGTGTTTGGAAATCAGGTATGTTCAATCACGTGTATTTTTGTCAAGTTCCACCAGATGAAGCGCCATAAATTGATAAAAACAGCAACTTCTTTTTTTCAAGCGATAGTTTGTTGTCGCAGTTTTACAAGCGCGGAAAATTTTTAACTTTTAAATATTTCATGCACAACATATGAAAACTAGTTTTATTTTGATGTTTTTCTATAACTTAAGTACCTAGGTTTCTGAAAATCACCAAATGAGAATGGGCTTTTTAAATTTTTAAACATTTTTTTGGCCATGTTTTTGACATGTGCATGCCAAATCTACACATGAAATACAAGCAAGCGATAGTTTGTTGTCGCAGTTTTACAAGCGCGGAAAATTTTTAACTTTTAAATATTTCATGCACAACATATGAAAACTAGTTTTATTTTGATGTTTTTCTATAACTTAAGTACCTAGTTTTCTGAAAATCACCAAATGAGAATGGGCTTTTCAAAGTTTTAAACATTTTTTTGGCCTTGTTTTTGACATGTGCATGCCAAATCTACACATGAAATACAAGCAAGCGATAGTTTGTTGTCGCAGTTTTACAAGCGCGGAAAATTTTTAACTTTTAAATATTTCATGCACAATATATGAAAACTAGTTTTATTTTGATGTTTTTGTATAATTTAAGTACCTATTTTTCTGAAAATCACCAAATGAGAATGGGCTTTTTCAATTTTTAAACATTTTTTTGGCCTTATTTTTGACATGTGCATGCTAAATCTACATATGAAATACAAGCAAGCGATAGTCAGTTGTTGTCGCAGTTTTACAAGCGCGGAAAATTTTTAACTTTTAAATATTTCATGCACAATATATGAAACCTATTTTTATTTTGATGTTTTTGTATAATTTAAGTACGTAATTTTCTGAAAATCACCATTCTCATTTGATGATTTTCAGAAAATTAGGTACTTAAATTATCCAAAAACATCAAAATAAAAATACGTTTCATATATTATGCATGAAATATTTAAAAGTTAAAAATTTTCCGCGCTTGTAAAACTGCGACAACAAACTATCGCTTGCTTGCATTCGTTATGGCATTGTGTAGATTTGGCATGCACATGTCAAAAATAAGGGCAAAAAAATGTTTAAATATTAAAAAAGCCCATTATCATTTGATGATTTTCAGAAAATTACGTACTTAAATTATCCAAAAACATCAAAATAAAGCTAGTTTTCATATATTGTGCATGAAATATTTAAAAGTTAAAAAGTTTCCGCGCTTGTAAAACTGCGACAACAAACTACATCGCTTGCTTGCATTCGATATGGCATTGTGTAGACTTGGCATGCACATGTCAAAAATAAGCCAAAAAAATGTTTAAAAATTAAAAAAGCCCATTATCATTTGATGATTTTCAGAAAATTACGTACTTAAATTATCCAAAAACATCAAAATAAAGCTAGTTTTCATATATTGTGCATGAAATATTTACAGGTAAACTACGTGAAGCGTTCCTTTTTTGACTTCGTAACTCATTTGGAATTTTCCTCATTAGCTTTGCAAATTTGAAAAACTCTTTGCAAATCCTTTGAGGGAATTTGCAATGTTCCTATCGGCTGTTGCAATATTCCAAACTTCATTTTAAATTTTCCTAACTTCCTGTTTTAATTTCCTAACTTCCTGTTCTGCTCTGAGCGTTGTTATTGGTCGATTATTTTTGTTAGCCAATTGCAACGCCCAGAACAGAACAGGAAGTTAGGAACTTGTAACAGGAAGTCAGGAACTTCTAACAGGAACTGAGGAAATTGTTCTTGCCTTTGCAACATTGCAAATTCCCTCAAGGGATTTTCAAAGGAGTTTTTTTAAATTGCAAAAGTAATGAGGAAAATTGCAATCAATTTAGAAACTCAAAAGAGGAACGCTTCACGTAGTTTACCTGTAAAAGTTAAAAAGTTTCCGCGCTTGTAAAACTGCGACAACAAACTACATCGCTTGCTTGCATTCGATATGGCATTGTGTAGACTTGGCATGCACATGTCAAAAACAAGGCCAAAAAAATGTTTAAAAATTAAAAAAGCCCATTATCATTTGGTGATTTTTAGAAAATTAGGTACTTAAATTATCCAAAAACATCAAAATAAAGCTAGTTTTCATATACTGTGCATGAAATATTTAAAGGTCAAAAATTTTCCGCGCTTGTAAAACTGCGACATCGCTGTGAACATGCAATTTGGAGTCTTTTGGCGGACATTTCAGTTGCATATTGTAAGTTCGAAAAGAGAAATTAAACAACCTTTAACATGGTAGAAACGGAATTTTCTGCTTGTTCCTTATAATTGAATATTTTCCCTAACTTTTATATTGCATTTGAATGCCTGAATATGTTAATGAAAATGTTTCCAATGCTTTCTAAATTGACAATTGTTTTCTAACTTTATCAAAACAAGGTCACAAGTTGTGTCATTGTAAATTACGCAAGTGACCTGGTCATAAATCTTTAAATTGAAAAAAAGCCCACAAAAGCCCATTTTCTAACCTTTTCAGATCGAAAGTATAACTAATTATAGATAATTTAAAGGGTTGAAATTAACTTTTTTTCCACTCGGTCTGGCTAAAAAACTCGACTACAATTTGACATTGCCTGAAAAATGTAAATATATTTTATGATAAAATCGCTATGCCTTCAAATAATTTCACATTTTAAAAATGCTTTTCCAACTCCAGCGATGTAATTTGCAATACTAATTAATTGCCAGAGTCTCTATTTTATAACAAGTTAATTTCTTTCCATTTTAAGGATAAATTTACCTTAAAAATTTGCACTTTTTGATTGCCCTTTAAATATTTTTGTCTCTTGTTTTTGCTTCGCTTCATCTATAAAAATCCCGCTTCATCCGCGCATTTCGCACGCTCGCGCCAGTCTCCCGTGCATCACACATGGATCAGGCAAATATTAGCGCGTTTCACCGCCCGTGTTTTACTACGCCCTGCGCTATCCCAGAAAGCTTTGCGCGCGTTGTAAGAAAATTAGGCACCAGTCTGTCAAACTGCGCTCGTCGTGAGAATTTTTGGTGGTATTCATGGCATGGTGTTTTGTCAAAAATGCTGTTTTGTCAAGAGACAAAATACCTACCTCCACAAAGTCCACAAAGACTATAAATATTTTTGTAAATATAATTTCAATGAACTGATGAGAAATTTAAAATTAACTAACTTAAACTGGGAAATTTGACCAGTTAAATAAATACATTTACCCTTTCTAAATTCTCACAACTTTCTATTTGAATAGGAAATAGAAATAAATAGCTTTTAAGATCTAATTATTTTGCTATTTCAGTGCCTGTTTTAACTATATATCTGGGGGGCGGGGGCAATTGCCCCCAGAGAAAGAATGCCCCCCCCCCCTCCAGTAAAGTTCATTTCTGCCCCCGAAGTGCGAAGCAGAATTGCTCATGATTGCTGTCAGAATTGCAGTTGATTTAATTGATAATGAGATTATGCCCTTCCATAGCCTCCTCCACAGCTATCTTGTGTGTAATTCATATTGTTCTTCACCGAGTATTTCATAATAGCGATAGATTTCATGCAAACAATCCAATAAAATGCTGTTTCCAAGAAGAATAGATTTAGTTTGAGAATGCGGAAATGGTGTCTCATAGAACCGAAAATGATTTAAATGCAACATTTCTGATCAAAATCACATAGGGATCCCCCCCCCCCCCAAGCATCACAGAGAGGAAATAAGGTGACACTGACCCCTCCTCCTAGTCTCCTCAAGGTGACTTTTCCAATTTATTTAATTCCGAGTAGAAATGTCTGGAAAAATTCATGTCTTCGATGTACTTTATAATCTTCTGAACTCTTCGGAATTTCACTCCCAAAATGCTTGAAATCGCAATTCAGGGACCCTAGATTTGAAAATTTCCCCCGACCCTCCTAGACTGTTCGAACCCCCCCCACAAAAAAAAAACCAACAAAAATTAAGGTCTGGCTGCGCCACTGGTTATAGCTGTACGATTATAGCTACAAAGGGTTGAAGTTATTGTCTATATAGGTGAAGTTAATAAATTAAAGTTTTACAAAATCTCTCTTCAGAATCGCGTGTTCGCCAAACTTTGATGGGTCATATTTTTCGTTCTGGCTTTTTTCCTGTTTAGCCCCCCCCCCACCCCTAGTAAAATTTCCTTAAAAAAGGCACTGTGCTATTTATTAGCTATTTTAACAATAGCTATAAAAATAAAAGTAAACATAGTTTAAAAATAGCTATTTAATAGCCATTTTGACCAAAATTCGCCACAACTTTCTATGAATAGGAAATAAATAGCTATTTAAGATCTACTTATTTTGCTATTTAATAACTATTCTAAGAATGGCTCAAAAAATTAAAAAATAAAAGAAAACATAGTTTAAAAATAGCTATTTAATAGCTATTTGGAACAAAGTTCGCCACAACTTTCTATGAATAGGAATTAAATAGCTATTTAAGATCTATTTATTTTGCTATTTAATAACTATTTTAACAATACTCAATAATATCTCCAAAAATAAAAGCAAACATAGTTTAAAAATAGCTATTTTATAGCTATTTTGAACAAAGTTCGCCACAAATTTCTATGAATAGGAATCAAATAGCTATTTAAGACCTATTTATTTTGCTATTTAATAACTATGTTAAGAATGGCTCCAAAGAAGATATGCAAAAATAGTTTAAAAATAGCTATTTAAACTATTTTAACTGACTCGTTTGTCATCAATAGGAATTAAATAGCTATTTAAAAGCTATTTTATAGTGAGATTCCGTCAATTAGTCTTCCAAATAGGATTTGAATATCTATTTCAAAGCTATTTTTTTGAAAAATATATATAACCTATATTTTAAATAGGGTGTAAATAGTCATATACTATTTTATGAAATTTGATAAATAGTAATAAAATAGACATATTTTTGAAAAAATACGGAAAAAATAGGGCTAAATAGAGAAAAAATAGGTATAAAATAGCTTATAAATATGTCGGATTCTACAAGGGTAACCTTTTGCGAGTTAGAAAATTAAGGTGGGTTTCACTTTCCGCACGCAGCATATACACTAACAACAAGCTCGGTGAAAACTAGCACAAACAAAAGTTTTTATATGTAACTATAGTCACTACATAGCTCTGGCAGTTTACTATAAAATAGCCATCTGCCGGCTGAATAGACACTTCGTATATATAACTATTATATATGGTGACAGTCTAGACAATTTCCAGCAGTTACACCACCATATACATGTGAGAACTTTCTCGATATATGCACAAACATACCCTATAAACCTTACATAATTGTATATATAAATAGATTTCAGTTGGGCATTTTATTATTGAAAAAGGTTCAACATGTCATTGTGTCTGACATTGGCTTCCACAAATAAACATGAGAAATCCAAGATATCGACTAAAACAAGACTACATAGCTATAAAGTTTCACCAATGCATGAGGCATTAACATAGAACTATGACTCTGTTAATAAAAATGATTCTATATTTAATATTTTGAATTTTAAATAAATACTATTACTGTACATATTAAAACACATATAAATCAAAATAAGCACTCACCATATTTCTATCAGGAGTAGATATCGATGTCCCTAAAGTGTAGCTTATTCATTATAATGTCCTCTTTATTTAAATATCGAATACAATTTATTCAATTTTAATAAAACACCCCTGTTGACCGCCATATTGATACACGCAACCGCGTATTAAGAGGCAAGGGCCTGGTGACTAGGTGCTCTACCGTATCTGAAATAGCCTTCACCCACAATACGAAGATGAAATAATAAGAAAATCGTCTAGTAAATGAAGGAGTTTGTCGATTCCGAGTTTTTTCTGAGCAATCCATTCAATCGCCGTGCTAAACGCTTCGAAAGTGCAACAGGAACTTGAGCAGCCCATAGGCATTGCGCGGTCATAATAATAGCAGTTGCGCCATTTTATGCCCAAAAGATGGTAATCGGCTGGATTGATAGGTATTATTCGAAAACCATTTTTTATATCAGTTTTTGCGAGAAAACAACCCGGACCTGCTCGTTTTATAAGTCGAATTGCATCGTCACAATTTGCATACCGAACCGATGTTTCAATGTCAGGTATGCCATCGTTAATCGATGTTCCCTTAGGAAAAGACAAATGATGAATTATGCGAAATTCGCCGGGTTGTTTTTTCGGAACCAAGCCCAGAGGCGAAACACGAAAATTTGCCAATGGTGGCGTAGAAAAGGGGCCGGCTTGCAATAATATTTTTAAATTACACACTTTTACCGGTGTTGGCAACTGAGTGTGAAATAGTCTTAGGCGATCGATCATTGGGAGACTTTTTGGCTGCGCCACGAAAATTACAGTTTACGGAGCGATGCGCTCCATGATATTTGAAGCATGCATGCTTGAAATCACAACCAGAGCATGTAGGCGCCTCAATGGAATTTATAGCAATATCCCTTAGGAACAGAGACGTTGGTAGACGGACGCGCAGCGTTGTGACTTTGCGTATTAGCCCTAGGAAGCGCAGAATTTTGTGATCGGAGCCACAATTTCCAATGAACGGCCGCCCAAGGAACTTGAGTTGCCTGTTTTTGTCGCAAAAAACGAAAATTTTCGTCATAGTAAAACCAATTGTGGCCACTTACGGCCACGTCTTGCACCATTTGACCATATTTCATGAGCGCGGGGGACTCATGAGGGGACTTTTGTGTGTAAATTGAAACAAATATATGAAAAGCGC